TGGGGGGGGGGGGCGGGGCGAAGATGAACCTCCTGCAGAACCGAGGGGCTGCCCCGAGACTCCTGGCCCAAGCCTGGAGTGAGTAGCCACCGAGATGGGAAAAGAAGGCCAGAGCGACCTTCTGGGGAGGGGGCTCCAAGAGGTGAGGAGCCCTGGCTGGCACCCCCGCACCAGGCACAGCACACAAGTGGTACATAGGCGCACGCACACACATACACACACAATGGGCCACTGTCCCTCCCCCACGCCCTGCCCTCCCCTCCCCTCCCTCTCCCTCCTCTCCTCTCCCCTCCCTTCCCTACTTTCCCTCCCCTCCCTTCTGGCCTGGGCCTGGAACACTGGGTGCCTGCGCCAGGCTTGGGAAGCCTGCAGCCTGGCCCGCCTGGCGCCGCCACTGGACACACTGCGTGCACGCCCCATGCCCGCCAAAGCCCAGCTTAGCAACAGTGATGGGCACGCGTGTGTCCTGTGACTGCAAAGCGGCACTGCTGCTGGGAAGCCCAAGTGACCAGGCGATGGGTGGGAAACTGAGGAGCCACTGGAAAGCCTTGGCCCAAGGTCACGCACAAGAAGGATGCTGGGCCCAGAAGCTGGGCAAGCAATGGAGAGAGCTGGGCCAGGGGCAAGGGTGCAGGCGGCGAGCGCAGTAGACAGGAGCTGCTGGTGCCTGGTTCTCCCCTCCCTTCCCCCACCCCCCTACCCCGGCTCCGGCCTGTTGGCCAAAGCCTGTCTCCAGCCTGGTCCACTAGAGCTTGCTATGCCTGGCTTGGTCCCTTCCTCCCACCTGTCTCCCCGTGTCCTTGCAGTGACACCCCCCCCCCCCGCCGTGCAGAGGACTGCCAGCTGCCCCCCTCTTCCTTGTACCCTCACAAGTCAGACTCCCTGCCTTTAGACCAGGCCCCCACCCTAGATCACTCAGCCTCGGTGCGCGGGCACACACTCCACGCGCAGCCCTGGCCATTCCTCGCTGGCGCACAGACGCGCGCGTCAGTGCATGCGTCCTCAGGGCTCTTGGGGTCATCCCAGGTGATGGTGGTGGGAGCCCAGAGGGCCTAGGACCCTCCCCACACACCGCCCAGGGAACATGGCTCTAATGGCCTGGGGGCTACCATGGCCCCTCCTGTCCAGAGGCCCAGAACCCACCCCCCAAGACTCTTCACCTTGGTCCTCTGAGTCAGCAGCCACCCCCTGCACTGATTCACCCAGTGCTGGGGCTCAGGGCTTCCGGAGCCTGGGCAGCCTGGCTGGGGACAGGAGATGCTTCCGGTCCTGTCCTGGTGAAGGGGCCACCTGCCCAAGCGGTCTTCAGGGGGCACTGCAGGAGGTGAAGCTGCCCCATGTGTCCTCCCCCAGGTGTGTTCCTGATCCCGTACGTCCTGATCGCCCTGGTGGGAGGAATCCCCATTTTCTTCTTGGAGATTTCCCTAGGCCAGTTCATGAAGGCTGGCAGCATCAACGTCTGGAACATCTGCCCCCTGTTCAAAGGTGAGCAGCCCTTCAGGGACCCTCCTTTCCCACATGCAGGGAGCTCGCTGCAGCTGGCTCCCAGTCTGCCTGCCCTGAGCCCCGGTCTGGGGGGAGACATGCAGGCCACACTGACCTTGGGAAACATCGGCCGTGACCTCGAGGGCATAGCCAGGCTGGGAACAGGACCCACGCAACATTCCTGACTCCCTATACTGTCCCCACCTGGGGCACACAGGTGCCACCACTGGCTGTCCCCCATACCACCACAGGTTACTAGAAAGCTCCCCCAGCTGCTGTGGTGCCAGGTGTGGGAGGGGAGGGGACCCTCAGGACTTGAGGAGCGGATGGGGACACGATGGCATTGGGACACCCACCCAGGGTTGAGTCCAGGGGAAATGGTAGGATGGATGCAGTGGGGGATGCTGGTGCGGGGAGCAAGTTGGAAGGGCCCACAGGGAGCACTGCCACCCCAAATGGAGGAGACGATAGGGGTGTCAGGGAGGTGGCTGGAAAAGAACCCACTCGTCCCCAGGCCTGGGCTACGCCTCCATGGTGATCGTCTTCTACTGCAACACGTACTACATCATGGTGCTGGCCTGGGGCTTCTATTACCTGGTAAAGTCCTTCACGACCACGCTGCCCTGGGCCACGTGTGGCCACACCTGGAACACTCCCGACTGTGTGGAGATCTTCCGCCATGAAGACTGTGCCAATGGCAGCCTGGCCAACCTCACATGTGACCAGCTTGCTGAACGCCGGTCCCCAGTCATCGAGTTCTGGGAGTGAGTCAGGCGCCTCTGGGCCAAGCTGGCCCCTTCCTGTCCCTCCATTCCCTGCCATGGCCCAGCCCTGGGGGCATGAGGCCAGGGATGAGGAACAGTCACTGGGAAGGCGCTGCCTGTCCTCAGGGAGCGCCCACACCAGGGCCGGGGGCTAGGGTGGACCTTGCACCTTCAGCAATATTTCCCACTGTCATTCTGTCACGCCTGCTTGGGGAGGGAGCTAAGGCTGCATGTGGGTGGGGGGTTTGGGGGAGTGTTTCAGGAGTGTGTCCTGGGGCCTGGGCTGCAGGGGAATAGAGCCGTGACCCCTCGGGGCAGACCCCAGTCAGCCCACCTGTGCTCTCCCTCTCCTAGGAACAAAGTGTTGCGGCTCTCAGGGGGGCTGGAGGTGCCGGGGGCCCTCAATTGGGAGGTGACCCTGTGTCTGCTGGCCTGCTGGGTGCTGGTCTACTTCTGTGTCTGGAAAGGGGTGAAATCGACGGGAAAGGTACCGCTGGGCTCAGGCAGGGGAGGGGGCGGGTCTGGCCCGGAGGTGTGTGTCTCTGCAAGCCAGGGACACTGCTGTAGCAGGAGGGGACCTGAGCTGGGGCTAGGGCCGAGCAGGGGAGAGGAACTGAAATCCAGGCCACTTTCTCCCCCCCCTCCTCAGTTTCTCTCCATCCCTCACTCACTGAGTCTGTCTTGATGGTCTCAGTAGCCCAGCCTGGACAGTGGGTGAGGAGGCGGAGGCCTTTGCCATCTCTCTCTTCGCCTCTCTCTGTGTGGCCCAGTCACACTCTCCAAGTACTGACCAAGAGCCCTGCTCTCTACAGATGGCGGCCTGGAGGTCAGGGCACAGGAGGCATGGCACGTGCCCCGGCTAATGTCCCACTCCCTGCCTAGGCGCCACGGGGCTGTGTGAGGGTCAATGTGCTTGTCACCCGACCTCAATCTCTTGCACTCCCTGACACACTCCAGAGGCTGCGTGGATGCTGCCCTCAGAAGAGAGCTCCCGTGGGCTTGCCTCTCCCTGTGGCCATGCTGCCCTGCAAAACCTTGCACGTGCCAGGGCCGGCCCTGCCTCTCCCCTCCCTCTGCAGCTGACCTGTGCTTGCCAGAGGGCTGCCGGGGCTCCAGCCATGGCTCCGAGGGGTACAGTGGGGGCCTGCCTGGCAAGCGCTCTCCGGTGCTGGGGGCCTCTGGGGGGAGGTGGGGGCTGCGAGCCCCTCTGAGCAGCCTGGCCCCCTAGATCGTGTACTTCACTGCTACATTCCCCTACGTGGTCCTGGTTGTGCTGCTGGTGCGCGGGGTGCTGCTGCCTGGAGCCTTGGACGGCATCATCTACTATCTCAAGCCTGACTGGTCAAAGCTGAGGTCCCCTCAGGTGAGGCAGAGCAGCCCATGCCGCAGCGGGGCTGGGAGACGGAGCCGTCTGCCAGGGCCCTCACGCCTGCTTTCTCCTGGTCCACGCTTCCAGGTGTGGATCGATGCCGGCACCCAGATCTTCTTCTCCTACGCCATCGGCCTGGGGGCCCTCACGGCCCTGGGCAGCTACAACCGCTTCAACAACAACTGCTACAAGTAGGCCCCACAGCCCCGCCCCCTCCCTGCCCACGCCTGGCAGGCAGCCTACCCAGGGCACTCTGTCCCTCCACCCCCAGGGACGCCATCATCCTCGCGCTCATCAACAGTGGGACCAGCTTCTTTGCTGGCTTCGTGGTCTTCTCCATCCTGGGCTTCATGGCCACAGAGCAGGGCGTGCACATCTCCAAGGTGGCAGAATCAGGTAAAGCCCCCCAGCCCCAACACGCCCCAAGAAAACACACACACGCATGCACGCGTGCGTGGGGCAACTTGTCAGATGGCTCCGGTCCTTCCCTCCATCCCCAGAGGCCCGCTGGGGTCTCCAGCCTGCACCTCCCCCTACAGGACCCGGCCTGGCCTTCATCGCCTATCCTCGGGCTGTCACGCTGATGCCTGTGGCTCCACTCTGGGCAGCCCTGTTCTTCTTCATGCTGCTGCTGCTCGGCCTGGACAGCCAGGTTTGCAGTGGGCCCGGGCCAGGGAGGGGGAGCAGGACGGGGCGGGTGGCCAGGAGACGGGCGACAGTGGAGCGGGGCTGCGCCTGAGCTGCCGTGGCTACAGTTTGTAGGTGTGGAAGGCTTCATCACCGGCCTCCTCGACCTCCTCCCGGCCTCCTACTACTTCCGTTTCCAAAGGGAGATCTCTGTGGCCCTCTGCTGTGCCCTGTGCTTTGTCATTGACCTCTCCATGGTGACAGATGTGAGTGGGGGGGTCGCAGCAGGGAGGGGGAGGGCCCTGTGGCTGCCTCTGGCAGCACCTGCCGCCTTCCCTGACCGGCCCCCACCCCCACCCCGGCAGGGCGGGATGTATGTCTTCCAGCTGTTTGACTACTACTCGGCCAGCGGCACCACCTTGCTCTGGCAGGCCTTTTGGGAGTGTGTAGCGGTGGCCTGGGTGTACGGTAGGTGTGGACAGTGGGCTGGACGGTGGGGTGGGGACAGGGACAGGGACAGGGACAGGGAGGCCTCCAGCTGCCGCCCTCCTGCCTCACTGCAGGAGCCGACCGCTTCATGGACGACATTGCGTGTATGATCGGATACCGACCTTGCCCCTGGATGAAATGGTGCTGGTCCTTCTTCACCCCGCTGGTCTGCATGGTAAGGCCGGGCCGGGACAGTGTGGGCTGGGCGAGGCGGCACGCGGAGGGCCCCAGCTGACTGCCAGGCTCCTGCCTGCAGGGCATCTTCATCTTCAACATCGTGTACTACAAGCCGCTGGTCTACAACAAAACCTACGTGTACCCGTGGTGGGGCGAGGCCATGGGCTGGGCCTTCGCACTCTCCTCCATGCTGTGTGTGCCGCTCCACCTCCTGGGCTGCCTCCTCAGGGCCAAGGGAACCATGGCTGAGGTGAGGCCCCTCATCCCCTTCCACAGGCCGGGTGCGTCCGGCCAGTCCACACCGGGAGTGGGCGGAACGCAAGCTGCCTAGAGCAGGCGGCAGGGCCGAGGCCCACCTCCCCTCTGCTGTGCTGCCTACCTACACGCACCCAGAGTGGAACCTGGCGAGGCGGGGTGGGGGGCGGCCTGGTGGGCGCCGGGGAGCGGCAGGGGCAGTTGCCATGGGGATGAGAAGTGCCCCTGAAGGGACGCCTCCTCTTGCAGCGCTGGCAGCACCTGACTCAGCCTGTCTGGGGCCTCCACCACTTGGAGTACAGAGCTCAGGATGCAGACGTCAGGGGCCTGACCACCCTGACCCCAGTGTCCGAGAGCAGCAAGGTCGTCGTGGTGGAGAGTGTCATGTGACAGGCACTCCAGCTCACATCACCAGCTCACCCTCTGGTAGCCATAGCAGCCCCTGCTTTAGCCCCCACCCCACCCCACCCCTCCAAGGGGCTTGCCTTTCCCTCATAGTTTTGGGGTCTGCCTGGGGCGGGGGAGGGGAGGAAGCACCATGAGTGCTAAAGTAACTTTTTCCATTTTTAATAAAACGCCAAAAATATCACAACCCACCAAAAATAGATGCCTCTCCCCCCTGGGGCCCATGCATTGCTCTCAGCCCCACTGCCTGCTCCTTCCCCCACTCCCACAGGGCCCACCTCCTCCTCCCCTGCCGTGCCACCCTCCTCCGCCTCTCCAGGCTGTGCCCTAGAACACCTCTGGGTGGCCCCTCACCCCCGAAGCAGCAGTGGTAGCTTGGGGACGGGAGGGAGTGAGGCAAAGGAGAGGCAGCGGAACCAAGGCGAATATTTCAGCTGCACTAGACCCCTCTTCCCGCCCCTATTCTAGAAGCTTAGAGAGCCAGCCAGCAGCAGAACCTTCGGGTTCCTGCGCCACTTGCCACCAATAGCAATTGCGTGCGCTTGGGTCTGAGTGCACGGGTGCAGGCGTATGCAGAGTAGAGAGCTCTGGCTCCTAGCAATGGTGAATACCAGATGTAAACGGTGCCTCAGCGAAGGAGGCTTGTATTTTGCACATTTTATACAAACTTGAGAAAAGAGTGAGATTTCTGCTTGTATATTTCTAACAAGAAGAAAAGAGCCCAAACTGTCCCTTTCCTTACCACCCCCTGTCCCTTTCAGCTCCTCACCGCCTGCCCCTAGCCAAGGAGTGTGAATTTATAGACCTAATTTTCATAGGCAAAACAAAAGCTTCAACCTGTCGAGCGTATGAGTCTGTGTGCATGTGCGTGTGTGGTCCCCAACCCCAGAGAGGGGTGGAAAAGTGCTTGGTGGGGGCCTCCAGGGTGGTCCCAAGCCCCTGGGGCCGGGGGCTGCAGCGTTCTGTTGCAGGGACCTGGACTGCTCATCTGGCTCGCTCAGGTCTGCCCCACCCTGCTCCCTGGGCTGGGTGCGACTGTCCACAGGACCCTAGATGGGCACCACCCAGGGGAGGGGTCCCGGGCAGGGCTCCCACCGACAAGCTTAAGGCCGAGGCACTTTCCACGTCGCAAGTCTTCCCGCGGAGCAGCTTAAACCCTCGCCTGTGTCCTGTCCCGCCCCGAGAAGCTGAGCAGCCCCCAGAAAGGCTCCCCCCCACACATGCAGGGATGGATGGAGACCCCAGCTGGAGGGTGGGGCTGCTGAGGGCGGTGGGCCAGTGGGGGCGTTCTTACTGTGCTGAAAAGCCACTGCAAACCTAGCAATAAAAACGTCACTTTCCAAAGCTGCCCCCTGCTTCTACCTCTGCCTCCCTGGGAGGGGGCTGGGGTGCGGGAGGTTTGGGGGGACCTTTCCCCAGCCCCCGCGGCTGCAGTCTATTGTCTGAGGGCCCGTGTGCCTGGTATGCTTCAAGGAGCTTGGGCGAGAGCAGGGAAGGAAGCAGACAGAAGTTCCCCTGGAGCGGACATACCTGGGGAGCAGAGGGCATTAGTCAGAGAGGAGCCGAGGGAGCGGGAAGGGTGGGGATGAAGTTGGGGGTGCTGAAACTTTCAAAAGGCTATCCCAAGAAAGTCTCCCTAAACAGCTCACCTTCCAAGAGCTGAAGGAAGGGAAGGGGCAGGCCAGGGCCAGGCAGTCCCTGGAGAAGCAGCAACAGCAATAAGCCAGTGCCAAAGCGATGTGACGGCCCAGGGTGGTGGCCTAGAGATTAGGGATCGGTTTGGAAGGTGCAGCCAGCAGGGGTTGTGGCTGCCAGGATGCAAGACAGGAGTGGCAGAGCAAGGGCCTGAGCCCCAGGAAGGACAGAGCTGCCCCGTCCTGTGATGAACAGGGAGGTGCACGGGCAACTGCGAGGCAGGAAGGGGTCATCTGAGCGACGGTGTAGTTGGCAGGTGGATACATGAGTCTGGAGTTCCAGGAAGTCTCGACTGGAGACAGAACTTTGGAACTTCTTACACAGAAACTTTGGAACTTTCTGACACAGAAAGCCCTGGGCCCGTGGGATGCTCCGTGGGCAGAGGGAAGCAGGGGCAGCCGGGACAGGTGGGAGGGAACCCAACAGCACCTCCTGGCGTCCCGCGATCCTCACGGGTCTGAGAGGAGGGGTGGCGGGCTCTGCCAGCGGAGGAAGATGCCGTCGCCACAGCGCAGCTCCCTGAGTCTGGCCACGAGGTCGTGGAGACCCTGAATGACCGACTGGAGTGAGATTAAGAAAACAGGAATGGAAGCAAAGCTAAGTGTCCATCACTCAACAATTAGGCAACAAAATATGTTCTATCCACACAGTAGAACACTATTCATCCCTCAAAGGGAAAGAAATTCTTGGGGCAAATATTTGGCCTAGTGGTTAAGATGCCCATACCCCTTACTGGCGTGTCTGGGTTTCACTTCCAGCTCCCTTCCCAATTCCAGCGTCCTGCTAATGCACATCCTACAAAGCAGCAGGTGATGGCTCAAGTGCTTGGGTCCCTGCCACCCACGTGGGAGACCTGGATTGAGTTCCTGGCTCCTGGCTTCAGCCCAGCCCAGTCCCAGCGACTGTGGACATTTGGGGAGTGAGTCACTAGATGGGAAATCTGTTTCTCTCTCTCCCGTTCTCATATGAATGCATTCTCTTTCTTAAAAAAAGGAAATACTCTGAAACATGCTACCTAATGTGGATGACTGTTGAGGACATCATGCTCAGTGAGATAAGCCAGTTCCCTCCACGAACCCTCAGATGCACAGAAACAGTGGGAAGCGGGTGCCAGGGGCTGGGGGAGGAGTCGGGGAGCTGTCTCAGCTGGGGAAGCACAGTGGGGATGGATGCACACCAATGCCATGTGCTTAGTGCCACTGGGCTGTATACTCACACACGGTTATGATGGCATAGTTTATGCTATGTGTATTTTTTTAATCACAGTTACAGGGGATGGGGGGATGGACAGGAACTGGAGATAGGAGTTCAGACAGGACAAGACTCCGGGCACGAATGGAGAGTGGCCGCAGATGAGAGCATGGTGCTCTCACCTCATCCAGAAAAAAGGAGGGGGCACCACAGGCAGGAGGTAGCCAGGCAGCCCCAGTTCCCCCCCATGGAGCAAGAGGCACAGTCCCCAGCTGAGGCGGGCATGGGCAGTGGCTGGGAGTTGGGCCCAGTCTAGAGGCCAGCTTGGGCAGAGGGAAGCAGTGGTCCCTCAGAGCCAAGTCACAGTTGCAGCTAATCACTCCAGTCCTTTCCCGGACTGCCATCTGGGAGCACCCAGAGCCCTTGCTCTTTAGCAGGCTACATCTCCCTTGTGGAAAACGAGCAGGCAAGAGGTGTGGCTTGGAATGCTGTCACCAAGAACCACCTGGGTTCTAACAAGTGGGCTCCCACTGGAGGGGCCGGAGGAGAGGCTGGCAGGGGTACAGCCGGCCCCTAGCGCAGCGCTGGGGCTCCACGGCCGTGCTGGTGCAGCATGGCGCTGCGAGAGAATACATGCGAGGTCTCGTCCTGCTCCTCCCCCTCTGCTTGCGCCGCCTCTCATCCGCACCCTCGTCTGGTTTGTTTTTTGCCCTTTCCCCTTCTACCCTATGCTCTAGTCAGACCTGCAACTTCAAAAGCCCTGCACGCTGGCGGCTCCGAGCTGTCCAGCCTGGCCGTCCTTAGCGGCAGAGGCTCTGCGCAAGCACCAGTCCCTCTGAAGCGCCTGGCCATCAGGAGCCTGCAGCCTCGCGTCCCTCAGCCCCCGCTCGGCTCTCCGCCAACTCTCTTGCCATGGTCCGCTAACCGTTCAGCTTGCCCTCAGGCCAAACGCCCTCCGAGCCACCTAGCACAACACCACGAGACACAGAAAATGCTGGCATCACAGAAAGGCCACTTCACCCAGGTGGGCGGACCACGTGACCTGGGCTTCAGCGTTAAGTGCCGTTCCTTAGGCCTTAACGCCTGTGCTAGAGGTCGGGACACCCAGTCCGGCAGGGGAAATGGGAGAGTGTTTCCTCCGGTCTAGGCTGGGCTTATGCCCCCAGCTAGATGGGCTGCTCCAGAAGCCGCTGCTGCAGCTCTCTGTCCTCCAGCTGGCCTGGGTGGGTGCTAACAAGGGGCCGGGCAGAATGACAGGAGGCAGAACCTGCACCCTGACTGTCTGGACTTTAGCCGTCAGAAGCTTGAGAAGGGTGAGCTCAGGGAGGCACAAAGTAGTTAGGGAACTCTTAGTGGAAAAGTGGGACTAGCCCTCAGCCTTGGCATAGCAACCAGAGGGTATCCCTGTGTATACCCTGCCATCTCAGATGGCCTAGGGAGGGGAGAATTCCTCAGGAGGCAGCCAGGAAGCAAGTGGCTGGCCTGGACCCAGACAGGGTAGGCAGGTTGGCCATGAGCCACCTTGCCAGAATCAACATCGTTCAGGGGTCTGTCCCAATTCCCAGAGGCATATCTCTAACCTGCTCCCCCAACATCTTTGCCGAGTCTTCCCCACAGCCCTCGGGTAGGACAGAGACCTTGCAGGGGCCAGGGGCCGGGGTTGGGGAAGAGCTGGCACCATCAGGGCCAGGAGCTACCTTCGTCATACCCTGTACAGAAAAGCATGCTGCAGGTGCCTGCGCCCTCACCGCCAGGGGGGTACCCCAGCTCCAGGCATGGCCCATCATGGCCCTGGCAGAGGCAGCTCTGGGCCTGGCCTGCAGGCTGCCCCTGGGTGAGGCCTAAACAAGGAAGCTGCCTAGGGGGAAAGGTCAGCAAGCCTGCGCCCCCAGGCATCCAAGGGTTGCAGGCAGCAAAGGGGTCACCCCCATCCACAGCTCTTCTCCAGCTCCCAGCTCTGCCCCAGGCAGCTGTAGGTCACTGCCAAGGACGAATTCTCCTTTCCCAGACGGCGTTAGTCAGAGGTCATCCTGTAAACCTCAGGACGGGGAGGGGCAGGGAGTGACAGGTGGCGCTCTGCCATGTTCTATCCGTCCCAAATGGGATGAACAGAAACCCTGAGGAGTCAGGTGAGCATGCCACCCCGGAAGCCCTGCTGGTTTACAGAGCCGCCTGACCTCCCCAGGGC